GTCAGAAAACAGCCGTAAACAACCTAATTAGAACAAAATCTTTGTATTGCTTGTGAACTTGAGTGAAGTATTGAAAATTTAAATCAGTTTACAAGCCAGTAAAATGGGAAAAATCGCTGCAAATTGCAGTGTTGTCGCACCAAAGTTGCAGTCAAAATCGCAGGGTGTGTACATTGAAGATTTCAAAAAGTCGTTGTAGAAATCGTAGTGAAAATTGCAAGTGTAAACAGGCCTTTGTGTTTATGGAAGTAATATTCAATAAGGGGCGGACCATTAGAAATCCCGGGAGGGGGGGGGGGTATAAAATTTTTGCGGCACGAATTTTTTTTTCAGTCTCGTGTCTCTAGCTGCAGGAACTTCATATTAAGTCTAATACTGCTATATTTCACTACTTTAAATTTTGTATTTGTATATTTCGTATAAAAGCCAACCCTACCAGTTACTTGGAAGAGAAATACAAGAGCCTTCGTTCTGAAATCAAGAAATTGTTGCCTGAAAGCCGTGAGAACTATTTTGGTTCAATCGACAATGGCTTTAAAGATAACCCAAAGCGATTTTGGTCCGCATTAAAGCAAAGATCAAAGTCTTGTAGCATTCCTGATCGTATCTCCATGCCTCCGGCACACGCTACTGCATTCTTGAATCATCCCGACCAGTCAAACCTCCCTTCCAGACCAATTGCTACAAACCCTAACGAAATAGCGGACTTCTTCAATACCTACTTCGCCCTACGTATTTACACCCGAAAACCTCCCTGTTCAACATCTTAACAGGACAGGCCCAGTTTTAACTGAACTCAAGGTAACTGAGTTAGAGGTAGAAACTTTACTTAACTCCCTTGATACTAACAAAGCAACCGGATCGGACGAAATCCAAGCGAGACTTCTAAAAGAAACCGCCTCAATAATCACTCCCTCCATCTGCAAACTATTCAACAAATCATTGCAACAAGGAACGGTGCCACAAGATTGGAAACTAGCGAACGTTGTTCCCGTTTATAAGAAAGGTGACAAAGAATATACAGAGAATTACAGGCCAATTTCTCTCCTGCCAATTATTTCGAAAGTTCTAGAACGGTCCATTTTCATGAACATTCGACAACACTTTTCTGGGATAATTTATGATCACCAGCACGGATTCCTCCAAGGAAAATCTTGTGTGACTAATTTGTTAGAAGCATTAGATTACATCGGCGCCTGTCTGGACAAGGGAGGGCAGGTAGATATGGTATACCTTGACATGTCAAAAGCGTTTGACCGAATCAACCATAAGCGATTGACGCAGAAATTAGCAAACTCGGGTATTGGCGGTAACCTACTAAAATGGTTTCAATCGTACTTGACTGACCGTCGTCAACGTGTTACTGTACTTGGTGTAACATCGAAGTCTCTACCAGTTTGTTCAGGCGTTCCACAGGGGTCAATACTCGGTCCTGCACTGTTTCTTCTTTACGTGAATGACCTACTCGAAGCACCCACGTCCAGTCGAGCTGCAATGTTTGCCGACGACACCAAGATATTCTCCGCAATTCAATCACGGAACGATGTTACCTCTCTACAAACTGATCTTGGAACCCTGGAACATTGGTCAACGGTATCTGGGCTATCATTCAACTAATGCAAGTGCAAACATCAAACGCTAACGCGGAAAAAAGCACCAGTTGCTTCCTCGTACAAGTTGGACAACTCAATCATATCATATCCATTACTGACAACAAAAGAGACCTTGGCGTGTGGCTGTCATCAGATTTAACGCGGAAAAAACATGTGAACGAGCAGACAGCGAAAGCGAATAAGATTCTGGGATATGTTAGAAGGAACACTTTGTTTATTCAAAATACTGCAGCCAGACGAGCGTTATACCTGGCATTGGTTAGGTCGCACTTTGGCTACGCAACACAGGTTTGGTCACCACAGTCAGTGGAACTTATAAGTAAACTCGAAAGAACACAAAGACGTGCTACTAAATACATCTTAAATCTACCGTTTAGCACAGCTGTTGACTATAAATCGAGGTTACGGTCTTTAAATCTTCTTCCAGTAAGCTATTGGCACGAATACTTGGACCTTATCTTGTTTTTCAAAATCACACATGGTCTAGTAACACTAAATCCCCAAGTGTCGCCAGCTATCTTCGCCACTCGTAGAACAACCCGATCAACCTCATCAAACAAACTGAAATATGTCATCCCTAAATGCAGAACTACCACCTACCAAAAATCTTTCCTCGTAAGAGCGTGCCGAGTTTGGAACTATCTTGCAGATGAACTGAACTTTACTAAGGATACTAGCATTTCTGTATTTAAATCAGATCTGCTCAAGTATTACTTTACATCACTGAACATTAATTATGATCCTGAAAACTCTCGATCATTTAAGAGTATATGTCTGAAATGTAATTGTATTCGAAGCCTGTTACGTCCAATATCGTGTTGCAGTTGAACTGTAAATAAGATCACACCTGTAACGCATGTATGTATATATATATGTGTAATGATAGTTTTGTGTCGGGCCCGCAGTAATTGGCTATTCGCTGTTGCGGTCACCCAGCCGTGGTCATGTACCTACTGTATTTCATTATGTACGTTTGTTTTTGTCCTGTCATGTAATGTACTGTTTCATCGGCAAAGTTTATAAATTAAATTAAATTAAATTATATGCGATAACACATCTTTGATTTGCAATCACTACAAACAGTATTTTAAAACGTTCACGGCGTGTGCTTCTTAAAGGCAGCATTTACTACATTTTAGGTAATCTAGTCATGTATAGAAAACTTGCTCGTCTGTAACTGGCTTTATGTTAACCAAAATGTTCTAATTTATGCATAAACAAGTACACGCATAAATTAGAACATTTTGATTATTAACATAAAACGTTTCTGTAATTACAGAAATCACTCATGCAGTATACAGCTATTAGTTAACCTGCACCGTAGCACGAGAACGAACGAATATGCAGGTATGCAAATGCTTTGGTCAAAAGCTGAAATCTGATTGGATTGCATAATTAATCTCGTACGAATGGGACGAGTAAAGACGAGAGCGAACGAATATGTAATTAAATAAACAAGAGTTAATTTGCATGATCATGAGTCATGATATTTTTTTACAAATTGAAAAGCCCAAAGGGAATAAAAATATAAAGTTAAGTCAAGTTAAGTAAAAAATTTACAAGCATGGCTCCAAGACGAGTCATTGGAGAAGTACTGAAGGGTCTCAATTAGACCACATAAAATAAATTCCTTGATTCTCATCACCACCCGACTGTATTTTAAGAGCCGCTTGAAATTTGTTTATATTTTGTTATACAATATAAATGTACCGCCCGACAAAATATTTCAAGACAATTAAGTTTTTTATATTTTATATTTTATATTGGGTTTTTAGTGCCATTTTAAACTGCCAATTTCAAACAAATAGAACCTTGATTTTTTCTGTGTTGGTGCTATGTACTCAGGTGAATATGATGCTTGTGATGTTGTTACTCTGAGTGTATATCCACACCGGGCAAGCTTGAAAAATATGCCTGACCACGGTGGGATTCGAACCTACGACCTTTGGAATACTAGCCCAGACCGCGTAGCTCAGTTGGCAGAGCATTGGGCTAGTATTCCAAAGGTCGTAGGTTCGAATCCCACCGTGGTCAGGCATATTTTTCAAGCTTGCCCGGTGTGGATATACACTCAGAGTAACAACATCACAAGCAAAATAGAACCTTGAAAGAAATTTCATTGCATTTTAACCGAACTTCGCATTCAGTTGAAGGGCCAGTCATTGTTCATGGAGAAATATGTTTATTTCAGTTTGTGACACTTTTATTTATTGATATATATTAAATTATATAAATATAAAATATAAAATATAAACCTCCCGCCTCTTCGACATTTTCAAAGTGTAGTGATGAGAATCAAGGAATTTATTTTATGTGGCTGAATGAACAGTATAGACAAAATGGCACAGTTTGGGATACATCGAGATAAACGCTTTATGAACATGCCCGACAACGTGCAGGAGCTATATGCATGCTTAATACAAGCTCTTCGTGTTAACACAAACAGGTCGTTGCATTGCAAGTAACTTGATTTTAAAGCGTCGTTTCTCTCAATGTCAATGACATTGATCGACTCTTCCATCGGACGCGTTAATTTCAGGCAAATATATCACGAAGAAAGCGTTGAAGACATTATTTAGCTGCACTACAAAACTGATAAAACTGACATTTAGGACCTCGATTTGGTTGTTCATATATACCATGTAAATTAAGTTTTGTGTATCATTGTGCAATATAATATTTATCAGTTATAGACCTGAAACGAGGGGTATTCCACAAAAAATTACCCTGAGGGATGAAATATTCCGAGGGCGAAGCGCGAGGAATATTTCATCCCTCAGGGTAATTTTTTGTGGAATACCCCGAGTGAAAGGTCTATAAATGGTATATTATACCGAACCTTTCAAAAATAAGTAGAAAACAAATACCATTCAATTAACTTTTAATTTCAAAACACAACTTTTGATAACTTTACATTTAAAAAAGTCGAATTTCCCGCTCAAGCGTGGTATTCGAAGTCGAATACCATGGCCCCGGGTAAAACACCCAGGGTTCAAATTGCTTAGGTCATAGTATTCGCTGAAAAATACCATGGTCATGTGGTACAAATTTAGTTCTCTGATTGGACAAGCTCATTGTGAGGTATAATATTACTATTAGTATGCATTATGTACTATTTACAAGCTGACGCCTACTGTAAGGAAATACTCGGAATTTAGCTAGCTTGTTACTTTATTTTCTAAACTCAAGTAACGACATGCATATAAATTCAAATTAAACTATTTTCCAAGAGGTTTTAACAATACCTATCAACTGTGAGTTTTTGGTTTTCCGTGCACTAACCCCAAAACGTTGAGTTATTTCAAAAGATTGACCGGCCGAATATTTGCAACGAATATTTAGCAACTTGCTTAGTGTTGTTGCCGATGTAGCTAGGGGAAAACGAAGTCTACTCGAATATTTTATAGAATATGGAATAGTATTTTGAATTGGAAATTAATATATTTGGCACATATATTTTACAAAGCTGAATTTATACAAGTTATAGGCATGTTGCAAAAGTTCGAATACGGGAAACGCGACGATTGCACTAGGCCTGATTTGCATGATTAAGTTATTC